AACATATAGAAAGTAGATTTTATTTTAGTATACAGGAAAAGACTTGTCATTGATGTGGAAGTTATCTCTGACTCACCTCTTTGTATACAGTGAGATCATTAACTTGTGAAAGCTAAGATCACAATTAGTTAAAAAAAAAAGAATGAATAATGAGAAAAAGATAATTAGAACAACTAAATCCTGAACTACTTAAGTAATTGAAAACAAAACATGGGAAACAGACAACAGAAATGTCATTGACACTAACTATACAACTTTATACAGAAGTTTAAATATTGTAAATTAACTGTCACAAGGCCAGAAGATTCCCCTCTAAAAGAGCCTTAGTCAGAAAACATCTAACTTATTAACCAAAGAGAGAAATGGTTACCAAAGGCAAAGCATGGCTAGAATGAAAAATCATTTGTAAAATCTAATGCAGAAGGGTGATAGATGATTATGAGCAGTATTGTTTCCAAATAAAGGAAGTAGTGGAGGGTAAAATCAGTTTAAAGGAAGCTTGGCAAGGTCTCCAACTAAGTCAAATCATTTCAAGGGCATTCCAAAATAAAAGTGTACAGAGAGCTACAAATACAAGAAAAATGAAAAATGAAAAATATCTCAAAAAAAAATTATAACCAACCATTTCCTCCATTGAGAGCAATGGAATCGCTACACTTGGACCCTAACATCACAGTACAGAATGCACTTAAAGAAAAGATAGAACAAGGAACAAAGAAGGGAAAAACTGATGGATTGGACCAAACATAAAAAGAGGCAATCCAAGTTGGAGACAACAATTGTGAGAATTAGGAATCAGAAGGTCGAAGTTACTAAAGTCAAAAACAAAAAAACAAACTCAGACCTTATTCATCTCAATAAAGGTGACAGAGAGAACATCACTAACTACTTACCTATATCCCCCTCTCTCCTATCTATACATAATTTTTAAGGGAGTTAGCTATATATGAATCTGGAACATCCTCGATGAAATAATTATTAGGAAATAAGCCACAGAGATCACATCTTTATTTCACAACTAGCTGAATGATATAGAAAATGTAAGATCCCATTTCACTAATTATTGATTACAAAAAAGCATTTGCTTTCATAGAAAAAAATTATTTTAAAACAACAAGCCTCCCATTCACATATCAGTGTCATTCAAGATTCAGTGCAAGATGTAACAACAGAAATAATTTTATTCAACAACCCTCTGGACCAGGCAAGGCATAAAAAAGAAAATGTATCCTTTCCAAAGTGCTCGACATTATGATAAAGATCCAATAAACAGCCCAGGTCAAACAGGAATTTCCTGTGGATGGTAAGGTCCTCCTGATGCTTCTCTTGTGCTCTCATTGTCAAGAGAAGGCAAGGAAGCCTTCCGGCTTATTGGGTGGTCCTTCCTAGAGAAAATTTGTGGGAGGACCTCGATAAGAATCACACAGGATGGACTGGCATGGGTGGATTTTGATCTGCACTGCTGGAAGGATTCATTTGAGTATTGAGGAAAAAAAATACCTAATCATTCAAGAGTTAATAGTACAAGTTCAAAAAACAGTTCTCAAGGGGAAAAAACTTAATTGGTCAGATTATTCACCCTGAGTCTGAGCGTCACAAGTATTTTTCAGAGGTTAACTCACAATGGTGAATGGCTTTCCTTCTACTGCCTAGTTTGTTGTCTCTCACTCTTCTTTGAGCTTTCATAAAAGACATGTTCTGAATAATGGCAGATGGTAGAATTTGGAAAAAAAAAATCAAAAAGCATCTGTTGATTTCAAGAAGCCAAAGGCAGGGCCAAGTCAAAGGGAGATTGGTTTTGACACGTGGGCAGCTTTTGCCTAGAAAATATACCTCTTTTAAGAGAGGTTAAATGTCTTGCTTCATTTTACCTATAGCCCTTGGACTTGGGAATGTGTTCTACAATAATATTGACTAGAATGAAATTCCATTACAACAAAATAACTTGGATATTCCCTTGATGTCTGTTGTAATGGGATTTAAACTGCATTTTTTCTTTCAAAAATAAAAGTTTTGAATGGTATTTACCACAAAGTGTCAGTTATTTGTGTGAGAATATTTAGAATATTCTATGTGGGATAGTTTATTAAAAACTCACCTTGACACACCCATAACCCAGTTCCTGGGAGGCAGTTGAATTTCCAACATGATCCACAGGGTCATCACATTTTATAAATTCATCAGGCCTGTAAACCACCAGTAAAATGAACATTGTTAATAGACCTTTGTATAAAGCCATTTATCTTGCACATTCCTTCATCTCAGTCAGACAATGTAAATTTCCCCATTTTCCTCCCTTCACAAACTTTTGTCAGTTAGACTGGTCAAAGAGGGATCAAATATGCTCCTTTTGAAATATTCTGTTATGATCTGAGAGTAGTGGACAAGGTGGCAGAGTCTCAGTGCAAATTATAATGACCTTTCAGGATAGCCGTTTTGGATTTTACTACTGGTCATCAAAAAGCTCTAAAACAAATTGATCTATGGAATCCTAAAATGAGAAGGAACAGTTCACTGCATCACATATGTAGAGCTGGTCGGAGGTCCAAGGTTTATGTGATTTGTTCAAGGTCACATAGATAGTAATTGTCATAAACCAGATTTGGACCCAAGTCTTCTAAAAATGCTCTAAAACAACCTCAACAAGTGATCAATCAGCCTCTGCTTAAAGAACTTCAATGGCAAGGAATCCACTGACTCTAGAAGCCGTTGAGTCCACTTTTGGACAGCTCTAATTATAACTTGCAATGAATTAAATTCCTATAATTATAAATTATTAAATTAAAACTTACAACTTATAGTCCAAGTTCTGCTTGAACTGAACAAATGTAATCCCTCTTTGACATGACAACTTTTCAAATGTTTAAAGACAGCAGTTATATCCCTAAGTTACTCTATATGATGCTATACATCCTCAGGTCCTTCAACCAATCCTCATACATGGTTTTGAGGCCTCCACCAATCCTCACTGCTCTCTTCTGGGTAAGCTCCTATTGGTCAATTTCTTTAGGCAGCTAGGTGGAATACAGCACATTGGATTTGGGAGACCCGAAGACCTAGGTTCAAATTTGTTCTTAGACCCTTAACCTCATGTAACCTCTTCTTTGACTCAGTTTCCTTATCTGTAAAGCAAGAATAATAATAGCACCTACCTTCTAGGGTTCTTGTAAAGATCAATGAGATGATGTTTGTAAAATGTTTAGCAAATCTTAAAGTGCTATATAAATGCTATCTATTATCATATATGATACCAAGAACCAAAGAGGGATACTTAAGATGTAGTCTGACCAGGGCAAGGGCCAGTGGGACTATAACCTTCCCCATTTTGTTTCTTTTATTACAGCTTTAGACAAAATCAGCTTGTGGCTGCCGTGCTCTGGGGCTAACTTCCACAGGGAGCTCGCAGTTCACAAAAAACCTAGAGGACTTCAGGTACAAGTTGCTCTATAGCCACGTATTCTCTATCCTATACATATTTGCACAATTTTTTGAATCTGAGTAAAACTTAGTACATTAATCCCTATTAAATTGCATCCTTTAGAGTCTTAACATAGATTCTATGCCTGAAGTCATCAAGGTTTTAGTATCAAAATTATCTTCCCAATGCTAAGGATTTCCCAGTTTTACCTTACCCCCATCAAAACATATTTCACTAGATGTGATATTTGACTGGGTGTGGGCTAGAAAACAACTTCTTCCTGTTTCATTAGACATCTTCATGAGTTGCTGTGGCCCCCAAAGTTCATCTCACCTGGTAGCTAATATTCTGGTGGTGGCCTTTTCTGAAGTCAGCTAGACTGGCTCTCAGAACCATCCAGTTCATCCTTTTGCAGGTACTCAAAATCTTCCAAATTTGAACCCTTCAAAAACCCAGGGTGACCCCAGTGCCAAGAGAATGTATACGGGACACAGGAAGAGCTAACTAGAGGTTTTAGGGGTTCTTTTTTGGGGGGGAGAAAGGTTTAAAAAGGTACAGAATCTGAAATCCTACTTTAATGACCCCTGTGGGCAAGGACTTTGGTATCTTCAAACAGCTTCACAAAGTGCTAGGCACCTAGTACGGGGCTGACTCATAATAAATCCTTGAGGAATTAAGTTGTTCAACTTCCCACTAAGAAAGTCAGTCTCCCCCACCCCCCATTTTCCCTTCCCCAAGGTTCGCCCCAAAGCCAGGTCCCCACCCGGCCCTGCAGACCTGAACAGTGTACCAACCCCACTAACGCCAGGAGCCCCACTCCCAACTGCCGACTGCCCTTCCTTGCCCGGGGCAGGAAAGCAGGTGGCGTCGGTCGGGTCGCCCTCCTCCCCGGCGGCGGCCGGAGGACCGGACGGGGTCCTGCGCGTCCTTTTCCAGCCCAAGTTCGCTCCCCCGCCTCCCGGAGCCTGGGCCGCTTACAGAAAGGCGCACAGGATGACCGGGGAGCGAGGATCCGTGTACGCCAGCATCTGCGTCTCGGGGCCCTCGAGGCGGGCCGTGCCCGCAGATCCGGTGGCCATGGCCTCGGGCTCGGCCGTGGTGTTGTACGACAAGCTCCGCGACACACAGTGCAGCAACAACAAGTTTCCCATCAGCAGCGCCGCTTGGCCGCACAGCAGTAGGTAGCTCACCGGGAAACCCCCCAACAACATCCTCCCGGGGTGGTCGCCGTCACCCGGCCGGGGATATGAACCCGGCCCCCGGCACAGCTGAGCCTGGAACTCTCGGCCTAGGCCGCCTCGCCGCAGCTGGTCGGCGCCGCACTACCCCGCCTCTCGCTGTGAGCCGGCCAATGGAAGGCCTCATTTGACGCGCCCCCCCCTCCCCACTTTAAGGCCTTCCGGAGGCGGAGCCTCGCGATGGACACTCCCTCATTGGCCCTCGCGGAGTCTCACGTGAAAAGGAAGAGCGGAGAAAGGAGGGGAGGGAAAGCATTCAGAGTATGGGGCGTGGCCCGCTAAGTGGGCGGGGCGGGGCGGGGAGCCCAGTTCCCGGCTCAGTCCCGGTGGGGCTTGGGGCTTGGGGCTTGGGATCGGGATCGGGATCGTTGTGCGCGTGCGCGCGCTTCTTTAGCGCTCTGGGCCGGGTCTGGGATGATGGAGGAAGCGGAGGCGACGAAGCAGTGAGCTGAGCCCCTGGAAAGAACCTGCATGGATTCGTTCTCTTGCGTCTCGGGGCGCCGGCGGCGGCGGCGGCGGCAGCGGCTGCTGGGGCTTCTGCTGCTGGCCTGTCTGGGGCCAGCACTGGGAGCTGCGCAGGCAGGTGCGTAGCCTTCCCGCTCCCTTTGGGGAATCTGGCTTGTCCCTCTCCTTCGCTGAGGTTTCAGGGGGCGCGGCGCGCGCCGGAACCTGGGGCAGGGGAAGGGCTGCGCTGGGAGCAGGCCTGGGGTCGCTGGGCTGGAGCCATCTCCTCCCACTACCCTCTAACTTCAACCCTTCCTTTGCACCGGGCTCCCCCTCCCTTCCCCAAGCTTCCACCCTCGGTGTCCTGGGTTTCCCCCCATTCCTTTATCAGGTGCTTTACCTTGGGCTCCCCCCCCCTTTACCCCAGGCTTCTACCCCTCTGTATCCCAAACTCCACCCCCGTACCCAACTCCCCCCCTCCACCTTACCTCAGGTTTCCACCCCTCTGTCCCCCGGGCCCCTCTCACCCCTTTACCTGGAAGCTTTTACCCTGCACTCCTTCCCCACGCTTCCACCCCTCTGTCCCCCAGGCCGTACCCACCCTTCAACAGACGCTTTACCCTGAGCTTTCCTCACCCCTTTACCCCAGGCTTTCAATCCTTTGTACTTCGAGCTCCTCCCACCCGTTTTCCAGGAGTTTTAGCTTGGTCTCCCCCCCAATTTACTCCAGGCTTCCACCTCTCGATGCTCTGGGCTCCCCCCGCCCACTTTACCCTAGGCTTTCACCCCTCTGTACCGCAGGCTCCCCCCATTCCTTTACTAGGAGCTTTTACCCTGGGCTCCCCTCCCCCCTTCTCCCCTTTGTACCTCGGGATCCTCCCCCTTTACTCATGCCTACCCCTGCCCTCCTTTACTTGGGATCCCGCCTTTCTTTTTACCCCAAAGATTCCCTTCCACCTTCCCCCTCTCCTTTTCACACAGTTCTCAGCTCGGAGCCCTTATTCTTGGCGTTGTCTCTCCCCACTTCCACTTCTTCCCCATTCCTTCTATTCCTGACCTCACATCATCTGAACTCTCAAGGTCAGATCCCGAAGTCAGTGAATTGAGTGTCAAACTATGAAAGTGAGGAGATACACCCCTACCCTGACTAGTCTTGGTCCTGAAAGCAGTTAAGGCTTTGGGATATTGTCCTGTAGATGGGACTGGTGATTTTGGAGGTGGGACCTCCACACACATTTAGGATATCAGAGGCACTAGAAGGTAGAATAAAAAGACCAGGTGTAGTTTACTTGACTCTCTTTTGTCCTTAGTGTTTCTTTTTGGATTTTAAATGCCCACTTTCTATAGTTTAGCAATCTTTTTCCTTCCATAAATTGACTTTTGTCTCAGTTTGAGATCAGTCAGCACTGAGTTAGTCATTGCCAGTCATGCCCTGGCTTCTTCCTGGAAAGAACTCTAACTCTTTTATTTATTGCATCAAATTCCTTATGTTCCAGGAGGAAGTATGGCTGAGTTCTGTTTGTTTGTTCTTGTCATAAACAATATTATGAAATGTATTTGCTGCCATGGGAGTTTTATTAGGTGGTAATAGGAGCTATCTATCAATGGAGAACTGCTGACCTTATGGAAATTCATAACTTGTGTTTTTTTTATCCCAATTGGATTACTCCTTTAAAAAAAAATACTGAATCCAGTACAGTCTAGAAATTTTGGAGCCCTGAGTATTCCAATTAAGCAGAAAGTCACCAATTCATTCCTTATTGTCTATGTCAGATACTTCAGAGGCAGTTGGTAAGGTGGGTAGAGTGCTGGGCCTAGAGTCATGAAAATCTGAGTTAAAATCTGGTCTCAAACACTTACTAGCTGTGTGGCCCTGGGCAAATCACTTAACCTCTAGGTTATAACACTGGGGATGGTGTGTTAAATGATATATTGTGATAAATGTGATAAAATGATATAATGTGATAAAATGAGATAATGTTTGTAAAGCACTTAGCACAGTGCCTGTCATATAGTAGGCACTATATAAATGTTTATTCCCTTTCTTTCCCCTCTCATTTTCCTAATGAGGAAATTGAAGCTTAGAGAAATTAAATGACCTTTTTTTTCAGGGTTGCACAGCTGGCTTAAAGTCTGAGATGGGATTCGAACATATTCCTGACTCCAAGTTTAGTTAGTGCTGTGTATCTGTGCAAGGCAGGCTACCCCAAGGTTAGTTGGGACAAGGTTGCAAAGAGCTTTAGATGCTAGAGTTTATATTTGATGCTAGAAGTAAGAGAGCCATTAGAGAATGATGATACTAAGATTGATATCCTGGGTGACCAGGAGGATGGGAATGCCCTTGACAGAAGTAAGGAACTTTGGAAGAGAGGTGGATTTTGAGAGAGAGATGGATTTTGAACATGTTGCTTCTCAAGTAGCAGAAACTTCTCTTTAATTCCTAATTTTCACTTTTAGTGGCAGGTCTTTCCTTATCAGAAATGGTTAACTGATGTTTTACAATGTACTCATTATTTCAAAATTCCATTGTAACCAATTTGAATGTGGTTTGGGGTTTGTTATAATGCAATTTTATCTATGACTTTGCCCAAGTCGTTGTAAAGTAATGAATCATCTATGACATCTCTATAAGGTAGACTAGGTCTTTTTCTAATATTTCATTAGCCTTATAATAATAATAGCATTTATTTAGCATTTTAAGATTTGCAAAAGACTTTACAAATGTTTGCTCATTTGATCCTTATGACCACCTTGTGAGATAGGTGCAATTATTATCTATATTTTACAGATTTAAATGACTTCCCAAGGGTCACACAGCTAATAAGTAATAAATCTAAAAGTCAGGATTTGAACCCTGATCTTCCTCGTTGCAAGTTCAGCACTGTTGTGTCAGTAAGCTCACTTTTCTAATAGGATTTGGGGGGCAAATTTGAAAAAAAGTATGAAAATTAAATGTAGATTATTAGAACAAGGGATTTGGAAAAGAGCAGTTTAAAAAAGACAACTTTAAAAAAAGTGTGAGTTTTTTGTTCTAAGTAGTATCTATTGATTATCATTTGTTTTTAATGATACACTGTAGAAGAGTGCATTCATTTTGATGTGTTTGTAATTGCTTGTGGCATGACTTCATTTTGAAATGGGAATGGCCACAACAGAGTAAATGGGTAAAAGGCTGACAAAGGCATATTTATTTTTAAGTGTTTGATTGTGAAAAGCCTTCCTTATTGAGTAATTCATTGTAAGCATAAATTCTTTAGCAATTAGTTGTACCTCAGACTTGGGAAAAAAATCTGTATGGGTTTGTATTTTCCACTGCCTATTCAGAGGTGCATTTTTTATCTTGTGACATTTGCCTCCTTGGTTCTGCTAGTAGTTTTTCACAGAATCACAGAATTGGAAAACACTTTGAAGGTCTCCTAGTCCAACGTGTCATAAAAAAGAATACCCTCTCCAACATGCCCAACAAATGGTCATTCAGCTTTTGCTTGAAGACCTCCAGAATAGGGGAACATACTAAACATAGTACCTCTTGAGCCGCATGATAATCTTTGGAATTCTTCTTTTTGTTAGGAAGTTGTTCCTGATGTAAAGCCAAAATCTGCTTCATTGTCCCAATGTACCTTCTGGGACAAAGAGCTTGAGTCTACTAGTCTTCTGTATGACAGTTCTTTTTAAAAATTCATTCATTCATTCATTTTTAACATCATTTTAAAAAATTTTGAGTTCCATGCTCTCTCCCTTCCTCCAGCCCCTCCCTGACTCATTGACAAGGCAAGCAATATATCACAACACTCATACATGTGAAGTTATACAAAGCATATTTCCTTATAACAAGTCTTCATGTATTTGACAGCTGCCATGGTGTCCTCCTTTGTCTTCTCTTTTTCAAGCTAAAGATTGTAAGGTTCCTTCAACCATTCTTCATGTAACATGATCTCATTGCTTTCTATCATCTTGGTGCTTCTTCTTTGGACACTCTAACTTACCATCATTGTTTGTCCTTCATTCTCTTAAGAATACCATGACATCAGGAAGGTGATGGTCATGACTTGCAAGTGACTTGGATTTAAGTGAGGCAAGGTTGTGCTAAGTCACCAGCTTCACTCTCTCCCCAGGAGACGTCTAGCTTAAAAAGGCCAACGTCTCCCACTGCATCCAGGGCCAGTTGTCTTGATCTATATCTTGCCATTGGACCCAGATAGCTCCGGAGAGAATGAAGCTGGTGACTTTACCCACCTCTCCTCACATCCAGTTTACTTGGAAGTCATGACATCACCTTCCTGATGTCATGGTCCTCTTCGAGAATAAAGAACAAACAATGATCTGTGAGTAGTAGTAGCTGCTCCACTGGGGACCCAACTGGCCAGTTCCAGTTGGGCAATGCAGCTCCCTTCTTCCTTTTTTCTTTCTTTCCTTCCTCCCTCCCTCCCTTCCTCTTTCCTTCTTCCTTCCTCCTTCCTCCTTTCCTTCCTTCCTTCCTTCTTTTCTTTTTTCCCTCCCTCCCTCTTCGTCTGTCCACATAGGGAATCATATCCTTAACTGCGGGTGCTCTGCCCAAAGGAATATAAATTTTGATTGCTCAAATTTACCAATTCCCTTTCTAAAGTGTAGTAGTCAAGATTGAACACAGTGTTCTAGACCAGTCTGACCAGGGCAGGGTACTGTCACATTCCCTTTTCTGAATACTGCCTTTTTCAGTGCAGCCTAATAGCGTGCTGTTGCACTATCTGTTTGGAGTTCTCCTATCTTGTTGTTGATGTGTTGAGCTTGTAGTCAACTAAAACTTCCACATCTTCTTCAGAGAAACTACTCTCTAGGCACACCTCTCCCAACTTATACTTGTGAAGTTGATTGTGTGGAGGGTTTTCTAGTTATTCCAACTGAATTTCACCTTTTTGGATTAATCAGTCAGCAACTATGGGCCAGATACCGTGCTGGACACTGGGGTATAAAGACAAAAGTGAAACAGCTCTTCAGAGAGCTTACAATTTAGTGAAGGGAGGCAGCATGCATGTATACAAGTGTAAATAACATAGATGCAATCTAACTATCGGAGGTAGATAATTGCTGAGCCTTGAAGTTCCTTAGGAATTCTAAGAGGTAGAGGTACACAGGGAGGACATTCCAAAATTGGGGGTG